CCGTGCGTGTGTATGTGCATATAAGGAACATCAACTTTTTAACCTTTATTTTAAATTTTCTTGTTTTATAATTTTCTCTAAATTTATTTACTTTCCAAGTTTCCACTTAAATTTTAACCTTTTTATATTATTATTTTTCAGGTTGTTGTAGTTGTTGTATGTCTTCTTGACATGACATTGACCGCATTATTATTAACTTGTTTCTTTCCATACACATATGTACATACATAAAATATAATATCAAAAGCCGCGTACTCAAATTGTTCGTTTATGAATTAAAAATTCTTTCCAGTTTTTTTTTCTTTTCATATTTATTTTACATATTCGCGAGATAATAAATTTTTTTTATTTTCGATTTTATAATATAATTGTAAATAAAATATAAGAACACAAAAAAAGAAGTAAAACTGGAACTTAAATGGCAAATTAATTTCAGTTTTTTTTTTCCAATTCTGACAACATAACGCAACACGGCCGGCGATTGAAACTGCGGTAGCTCAATCTATAAATTATTGTAATGTGTTAAATTTTTATTTTATTAGTATTGCATTGCATACCTTGACAACTTGATTAATCTAGTTAAATCAAAGATTTTTTTTTTTTATTTAAAATAAAAGTTCTTGTATATTTAAGCACATTAGGTATAGTTATATTTTGTTTATGTACATATGAAATACTTCTATGTAGGTAAAAAAAAATATTAGTAAATTGAGATCAATGTCATAAAATACAATTAAATATAATTTAAATATCGATACATCGATTAATTAATAACTTGTTTCAAGTCAAAAATTACTTCAATTCTATGCCTGTTCCAATACAAACTGTGACTTTTTCATAAACATGCGTTTGTTGCTCTTGTATATTGAAGTATAATAAGGCATGTAAAAAAAGCTAATGTCGTGTTAAATGTAAACTAATTTATAATTGCAATTTTAAATTTCTTAATTATAGTACAGATCAACGTTTAAATTTTCATACTATATTTAAAGAAGAAATAATATTATTTCTTCAAACAAAAATTTGCATAAATTTTTCGGATAGAACGCAATTTGAATTAATTATTTTTTAGATTAAGTTTAAGGTTTATATATAGAATGTCCAAGATTCGATAGTACTCCCGTGCTAGAAAGATAGAATGAGTGTAAATTAAGATTAAATTTTTTAATTTTTATTTCGAATTATTATAGACTTCAAATTAGTCCTTTCTAAAGGTTGTCTAATTTTTAATTCTAATTTCATTTTTCCTAACAACTCTTGAAATATAGGAAGTAGAACAAATATGGTATATCTTACTTTAAGGCTTTATTTATAATTTTCAATATACCACATTTAAAAATTTCCTAACAATGCGAAATATATTGCGTTTCAATTATTTTTGTATAACTGTGGCCAAATTGACTCATTAAAAATTTGATATTAGAATGCAATTGCTATATATGAAGCGCAAATTAAGTAAATAAATAAATTATTATAAATATTTATCTTTAGTCATTACTTTTAAAAAGTTATATATATATATATATATATATATATATATATATATATGGTTCTCTTTTTAATTAAATCAAAATATTGTAATTGCAATTATATATACAACTATGGTAAGAATTCGGTGATAATTGTAGAACGTTCATACATGGAAAGAATCTATATAATATTATATTATATGCATACATATGTATATTATATATATATATATGGAGAATATGGTCTATCTATAATATTGAATCATTTGTGCTAAAAGGAATTTAATTCATTGAATTCAAATCACATAAGAAATCACATAAAGAATAACAAGTTAATTTATTTTGTGATCTGCTTTGTATAAAATAAAAAACAATATAATGTACAATTAGTATTAAAAGTTGAATTTTCAATAAAAAAAAAAGGAACAATAAATTATTTATATCTAAAATATATTTCAGATTATATTAAGCTGATAATTATTTAAATAAAATAATTCTATCATTAAAATTTTATTAATTATTATTGCGCGTCTTATACAAGAAGATTACCTTGTTATTCAAATTCTTTCTTGCTTTTAATTTTAAATATTTTTTTTTTCATGAAATATGAATACAATACACGATACGTGAGCAACAATTAAAATCACTTCCTTCCTAAATTTAATGTGCCTCTTTTTTCTGTTATTCTCATAAATTCCAATATTATATAAGAAAAAAAAAAAATTGTTTCATTGTTTAAAATAGTTTAACATTTTAATCCAATATGTAATCTTTTAGGCACAGGCTTTTGTTAATGCATTTTTGATATAAGAGAATTCTATGACCTTAAAAATTGTCTGAACGCATTCCGAAATTTCATTCAATTCCTTAAAAAATTTAATTATTCTTATTAATTTTCTTCATAATACTTTAAGGCATTATGATTTTAAATTTTAAATTTAGTTTTTTGAATGACAAGTGCATTGATGAAACTAAATGATATAATTGAAAAATTTCTCAAAATAAAGTTGATTTTTTTTTTTGTTATTTTATGTTATACAAGGCTTATATTGAAGTGCTTAATTGTTTCTTCAACAACTATGCGATTAAGCCCATGTTACATAATGTTCTGAATAACTAAAAAAAAAACAACTTGTGCTCTTTAACATTTTTTCTCAAATGAAAATTCAATAATTTTAATAATTCCTTTATCATTCAATAGTACTCAAAAATTTGTAAAATTGGCAACACTGAAAGGAAAATTTTTTGAAAACATCCATTAAGAAATGTCGAAATACGAGTACATATAAATAAGTATGTATGATAAAAAGCATTAACATATAGAAATCTTTCAAACAATTCAAAAAACTCTTTTATAATTTTTTAATTGTAAAAAATATTTTAATTAAATTTCAAATATAAAAATACAATTTTGTATACCATTCATAGTATGCAAATAAAATTATGTCATAATATTAATATTATTTTTAAATGTTATATTACAACGGTTATGCTCTAAATATTAAATCAGTCAAGCACCCTATTCTATATCTACTTCATACTATATTATTAAATTCCTTCATCACAACTATATGTATGTACATCACGTTTATATATAAATATATTATTTAAAACTTTGAATTTTAATTAAATGCATACCTATTTTATTAAGGCACTTAAAAACCTATAATTTATTATAAATTATAATATACATACATATTTGAATATCGTATCTCTAATGAAAGATTTTTCTAAATTATTGTCTGCGAAAAGCTCTTTGATTCAAAGATGTTGGTAAACTATGGCTAAATTGCTAGAAAGATCTATCGGTCTGCAAAAGATTTCTGTTGGTGCAGCTATAGGGAGGAATGAAAGGAAGATACGCTAATCCAAATCTTATATATTTAAATTTATAGTTTGTAAACATAAAAGAAAAATTTTTCGAGCCATAATTATTTACACTTAAAAATAAGGCTGAGCTTTTTTTTGATGACAGCATGAAATTATTTTTAAGTTAGAAAATTATTCAAAAACGAATATTAAATTACAATTTCCATTTGTTTAATTTAGTAATGTATTTCTATGGGGATGCGATAATATCTACATTTTTTTAAAACCATAAGATTAATGATAAAATTCCGTAAAGTTAAAATAACGATGCGAGGCGATGCGAATATGTCATGCAATTATGGTTATTTTTTTTTCTTATTTTGTTGTCTCTTAATCTTTGGTTTTTTATTTTATTTTTGTATATTTTTTATTTTTTTCATTGTTATTATTTTGTATTCTTATATTATTTTAGAGACAACACGTTTGAAGTACAATATTATAATAACAAAAATGTGAATGACTTTACACGTCCTTCTCAAATTTCAAAAAAGCTCAACTCAAAACAAAAAAAAAACTAAAAATTCTGTTAATATATACATACATACACACTCATATTGTATAGGAATAGCGCATAACCGTGTGGGTACTGTAAAAAACGTGAACCATAAACTTTTGTAATTTTCACATATTTCACATATTTTTCATAATTATTTTTCTTTTTGATTTTTTTTTTTCAGTGTATTTATTAATAGGAATATTATGGTGGCCTATTACACCAATATGCCATTTATGTACTTGCTCTTCTCAGTCTTCAAATAATCGTATAAAATTGAATATAAAAATTAAAATATTAAAAAGTAAATTTTGAAGCTGTGCCTGTTGTGATCAACATCATTATCATTGTTTATGATCATGATTAGCATTTAAAGATACCAATTGTCATTATATTTAAATTTTTTTTTCATTTAAATGGAAAAAAAAGTTAAAAATTGCATAATTTATGAGTTTGCATCATAAACCAAAAAAAAAAAAAATTTGTATGAACGCATTACATATTTAGTTTGTAAACAATGTGCTTATATAAATGCATGTATTACAATTATAGTTGAAGTTATTATAGCCATTTACACATAGAGGTAGGTGTATTGTGTATACAAACATAATAGAGAATAAAAGACAAAACGTAGAGTCGAAAGATAAGTACCTAAATAATTGAGGTGAATATAGAAAAAAAAATATGTATTAAGTGCGGTGGCGCTTCAAAATAATGGTTGATTGATAGTGAATGGCATATTTTGGTACTATTTTTATCTATTTTTATTTTTATTTGTTTTATCTTTATTGTCAGTTTTTTATGACTGATGTAGTAATGATCTTTAATTTGGTAATTAGACACATATTTGATATATTTGAATCAAATCTATGAGGTATTTCTAACATAAATTTTTTTGGAGAATTGGTTTGAAGGACTTGATTTATTATAGAAGGCAACCAATTAAATAGGGAAATGTGTCACAACCGGTTTAGGAGGCAGGAGCTCTGGACGGTCAGTTGGTTTTCGACTGACTTTATTGACAAAAAGTTTTAACTTTGCTCAGTGTTAAATATAATAGATTTATAGAACAACAAAGTGAAAAACAAACGTTACAAGCGAGTTGAATGGTCACGGAAAATTAAGTTTAAAACTAAAATAAAATTTATAATAAATATTTATAAACTTACCGGTTCTATTAACTAATGCCAATAATATAATATCTAATTCAGTATTCGGTCTCAATGCATTCTTCCATAATACTCTTGCTCTTTCTAATACATTTTCTGATGGATCAATAATAGCAGCAATTGGATTTCTTGAATATGGATCTTCAATAAAATCTCTTAATTTCTCATATGGACGTTTTGGTTTCTCATCGGAATTAATTTTTTTTGGCTTTTTAACACGCTGTTGTGTATTTTGTATTATTGTTGGTGTACCAATTGTTGTTGTTATTACTATTGTTTCATTTTCAACAGTATTACCATTATTTATATTTATACCACTACCACTTAATGCAGTATCACTTGTAAATGCAATATTTTCTTGATGTAATGCTTCTTGTAATGGTAATTCTTGTATTGTTTTACTTTGTAAATCACTTAATAAACCTTCTGTAAAATCATTTGAATGATTATAGACTTTTAATAAATTATTTTCATCAATTTCATCTGTATAAAAAATATTTTGTTTCATTTCATTTGCCATTTCTGATGTATCATTAATTTCAGCTGATACCAATAATGTTGATGAAGATGATTCAGAATCATTATCATCTATATTTTCACCATCAGCAACAATACCATAATTTCTATCATCTGTATCTGTATCTGTATCTGTATCCTCATTATAATATTTACCATAATTATTTTCACCAGCAATTTCAGTTTCATTTTCATTTGTTTCAATCATTGTATTTTCTTTACTATTTTCCATTGATGACGATACTGATGATAATGGTGATGATGATATAGCCGTTGGATTTATATTTAATTTTTCAAGAACTTCAGTTATTGAACTACTATTTTGTTCTTGTCTTAATTGCATTAAAAGATCTGGTATTAATGTTGTTATTAAAAATTTTTTATTTGTTTCAATATCATCTGTTTCATTTAATTCATCTAATTGAGATGGTATATCAATTTTTATTGGTTGCTGTTGTAGTGGTGTTTCAGTTGCTGTCATTTGTTTTGTTAATGTATCTGTTATATTATCAATATCTGTTTTATTATTTTCTTCTGATATAGATTTATTTTGTTGTTCTTGATTATCATTATTATTATTATTATTAATATCACCATCATTATTATCATCATCATTATCATTAGAATTTTGTTGTGATTTACTTAATAATTCAGCATAATGTTTTGTTAATTCTTTAATTATTGGATCTGACATATCCGTTGACATCGGATTTAAATTATTAAAATTTGGTGTTTCAACATAAGTAGCACTATCATCAGAATTTGTTTCTTCGGCAACTTGACATGTTATTATTAAAAATTCTAATAAACTTAGAATTAAATAAATTGCTGTGATTTTTTTAAGGAACATTGTGTTATAAAGTTTTAATAAATATTTTTTATTTTGGTATTATTTTAATTTTTATTAATTAACAATTAATTTGTATTTTTTTAGTGTGTTTTACTTTTATATAATTTCTTAAAATCAGTTTTACATCACTTTATTAAGATTTATTTCAAAATTGGTTTGTATGAGTTCGACTATAGGCTCATATTTTCTTAAATTCCTGATTTTTTTTAAAAAAACACTTTCTGTAAATAAAAACAAAATTATTAATTAATGCAACACTTGATTTTATTTGCGATGTTAAAATTTGGGAAGGTTTATCCTTCAGTTTTCGTAAATAATTGTTCATTAAATGTTTAAAATAAATTTTTAAATTTAATTATTTTAATTTTTAAATTAATTTTAATTTAAATAGAATCGAAATTAAATTACTTGCAGCACATTTATTCATTAAACAGGAAATATTACATATTTTAAATTATAAAGCACTGTTTTTTATCACTATTTATTTGAAGGCTCAAATTAAATATTAACCAAAAATCACTTATATCAAAAATATTTCTTAATGTCACCTATTTGAAGACAATTATGGGAATACTTTTAATTGAGAATAAATGAAATATTTATTTATATTACTAACCTACCACTATATCATAAATTAAGAGTTGTAAAATGAGTGTAATTTTTATTTATGCAACCTGTATACTTTAATTTTTCAGTTATTATTTTGTTAATATCCCATATGTAAGTGTTGAGTCACATGTATTGAATGGATACACATATTGTATGCATATATGAATTTATATATATATTACGAGTATATGCGTTTTCTTAAGAATGTCTCATTTTGTAAGATATAAAAATTTACTATTACAAATTATGTAAATTTATATTAAAAATTTGTTTAAAAAGTTGTTTCATTTAAAATTCTAATTAGCCGGCTCTATATATGTATTTGCTAATTACAGTTATGAAAATTTCTACAATGTATGAACTTTCATTTAATATTACCATAAAATAATTCCAATTATTGGGTTATTAAAATGTAGAGCTTATTACTAAACCTCTGTCATAGAAATATGTTAGCACAATGAATATTGACAAGAGAATATATAGTAGAACGGGTGAATTTTCAATCTAAATCTTAACATACTTAATATATATAGCTGATATATACAATTAAAATAGAAGACTTGTTAAAAAAATTTGCGCATATTTGCTATGCTATTTATAATTTAATTAGAAAATTTATTAAGCAGAATTATTTTTATTTTTAAAAGTATGTATACCATTTAATTAAGAATTTTATTTATTAATTCTACTTTTATTATATTAATAATATTATTAAATTATTATAGAATTTTTATAATACTTTTTCTTTTATAACAATTTTATTCTAGTATATACATTGCATTTTTTTTATCTACTATTAATTTTTTGATTTAAAGCATACAAATATTATATTGATTGATTGATTGATTGATTTCTTATTAGTATAGAAAACAATAGTAAAATTAATTTTAAATTCTGGTATGCTTGAATGCAAATTTAAAAATTATAATTTGTAATAAATAATAAATTTATTTGACATGTTTTTATATAAAATTTTAAAATCACAATTTAATAATCATTGAGGAAAACAAAATATTGAATATGTATATTACCAAGAAATATGGAAAAAATTATTGTTATATAATATACATAGTAATACAGAGTGGTCCGTTTATGGCGTAAAAGCGCTCGGTGGTGATTCGTTTGAGTTGAAGCTACAACAATAAGTTTTTCAGAAGTTTTTTTTCTCAATGATGTAGGCCATTTAACGATATGCCGACAATTTGTGTCAGACTTGCCGTTTTCGAGTTATCTGAAAAAAATCTGAAAACTTTTCAAAAAAAGGTTAATTATTTGAAATGTCTTCTACAACTTTGCTATACACAGCTTTCATATCGCATTCACTGTTTGTTAGGAAAAGTAATAATTTATATAAATAAATAATTTTTTCAAAAAAAAATTCAAGACACAAACCTTCATTTGTATTTTTACAATTTCTTTAATCCGATTTTTTTCAACCCTCCAAAACTACGACTATAGATGTCCGAGTTTACATCAAAACGATTTTTTTTGCTAAAATCTTCGCGCAGGGAATTACCCCCCGGAACACATTTACACCAGAACTAGACCACTTTGTAAACATTTGTGTATTTATATAAGATTATATTATTAAAGAAAAAAATAATTTTTATTTTAAATTCCAAGTTAATTAAATTATATATTTGAATTAAAAACAAAAAGTAAAGGAGATAAGTAACCTTCATGGTATAGTATAATTTTTTTTTATTCACCATAGTTATTATTGTTATATTAAAATTCTGATTTAATTGAATTATATTTATTACCTTACTTTAATTTTCGTAAACTTTGAGAAAATAATAATTTTAATTGTTATATATATATATGTATAAGTATAAAAGTTCATTGTTTCATTTAATTAATAATTCACACACAAACCCATAATATTAAAATTTGAAAATAAATTATTGAAAAATTATTGTAGCAAGTTATATAGAAAACAAAAACAACTATAATTAATAATGAATTTTATTATTTATACAAAAATAAAAAAAAAAAACGATCTACCAGAAGAAATGTTCGTCAGTACTTCTCCTTAATTACCATTTTATATGAATGAGGTATATATAGTTGGGTGTGTTATACTCCCCCTGGAATGTTTCATTTTATAATATAAAACTAGAATTAAGAATATAAACCAGTATTTAATTAAGTGTTTAAAACCTTTCCAATTGAAAACAGTTACAAGAAATCTTCATATTACTTGAAGTTTTTAATAAGTTTAACAATATATTTATAGTAGATCGCGTACAATTCAGACAGCAATTCCTTAAAATTTTCTATACAAACTTTTTAAATTAATTTTTACTTTAAAAAAGGCCGAATTTAAGAGTGTTATCAATACTCAAAAATAGTGAATGTAATTTTTAATAATAAATTCTTATAAAAATTATTTCGAATTATTAAAGCTCTATATAAAATCACATTCCAATTTTTTTTTATTCCATTCAATGATTTTTAAAATGCATTGCAAAAATAATTTTAGCAATTAATAATATTGTAATAGTAATGACATTTTAATTTTTTTTTTAATAATTAATTGAAATTAATAAAAAAATAAATTTTTAAGGTTAATAATAAAATCAATCAATTATATTAACCACAGAAAGCAAAATATTGGTAAAAAATAAATTAAAAAAAATTTTTATTATGGTTGACATTAAAATTGAACAAAAAAATAATACAAAATAAGGTGATTTTTTTAATTAAATAAATTTTCATATTCAAAAATTTAAAGTTCTAGAAATGAATTTTTCTAGAAAGAAATTTTTAAACAATGTGGGTAAAATTAAAATTTTTTTTGTAATGGTCAAATTTTTAATCAAATCAAACTGGTTTTTTTTAATATAAAAAATTCAAGGTTCTCATGTAATAAGGAAATGAATTAGAGCCAAAATTAAAATGATTTATAAAAAATTACAATTTATTCGGATATTTCTTAGGTTTGAGAGGCAAAAGAGTATTTTATTGTAAAATTACATAAATATTTTTTTTTGGTTATGGTTGTCATTACAATTATTTCCTTAAACAAATCAAATATTAAATTCCCATGAATATAACACTTATGTATATGTTATATAATATTCAATTATATAATTTACAAATTTTCATAATTTATAGAGAAAAAAAAGCAGCATTTTTTCTATTTTTATTTACGGAAACTCGCATAGATTAAAATGTTATTGCTTTTTTTTTTTATTCTTTATTAGTTTATTTTGTTTTGATTCAAATTTGAAAAAAAAAAAATTTTAATTAATTTAAAATAATTATTTTTTTTCATTACTATGAATATATTAGTAATTTCAGTATTTTAATATGGGAATTATAAACCAGTTAATTTTAGTAGCAAACACTGTATACATACATACATATGTAATATTTATATTTGTATATATATAAATAGAAATAAATTAATGGTCAAGGTTAAATTATTATAAAAATAGAATTACAACATTAACAAAACAAAAATGAGAAAAAAAAAAGAAAAAGAAGTTAAGAAAATTGCTTTTAGGCTATTTTTTATATAATTTTAACCGTATTTTTATTAAATAAATTTAATACAGATAATAAAAAATATACATACAAATGTATATAGCAGTCAATTTTATTATTTGAATATTAATCAGGGACTAACATCTTATACTATCATATATCTTGTTTGATTTGATATCAATTGTACTATCAAACATCTTGTTTGATTTGATTTTTAATTTTGGTGAAAGTTTGATTTGAAAATCTTCATTACTATTTGCATATTTTTGACAAAATCTACGATGTATACCTAAACTCAATTTAAAATCAGACTTTGTCTATCATCAAATAATAGAAATTACTCTATTCTACTAACAGACTTATTGTTTAGTTTTTATTTTCGTTATTAATTTCGTAAAAAAATTATTAAATTTTGACATTAAGTTTGATGGCCATGAGATAAGTTCAAGTTTGATATGTAAACAGTCATAAAACTTAATTATAGATTTAAACTTAAATTTTGTCGTACATAAGCATATTTAGACAGTACCTTCGTGTATTTTGTATGATGATAATTTAATTAAATTCATATCGAACAAAAAGTTTTATGTTTAAACTTTTCGTTATTTAGAGTGCATTATTCATACAATTATGTTTCTTTGAGAATATAAATAAGCTATTTAAATTGCCACACAATATATGTATATATATATCTCATTATATAAGTTTGGATTGAATATAATTCAAAAAAAAATTATTTAATTTTCATTTCCTTTACCTTAATTTTCATATAAATCAAAGTGTAATTTAAAACATTTGAATTAAAATATCGTAGATCTTAAAAATATAACATTTATTAATTTATTTTATATATTTATACCGTTTCTTAAAACTGTAATAATATTATATAATTCATGTATTTGAAAAGATTTTCTGTTGTCTTAATTTAAATATTTTTTATATTTTTTTATATTTCCGTAAATTTTTTTCTATGTATACACAAATGTTATATATTTTAAATTAATTACTGTCAAAACTACCAAAATATTTGAGTATTTTATATTTCTTAATTATTGTTTTT